TCTAGTGACTCATAGAATTGAAGGTTTTAAGTATGCCTTCGAAGCAGAACATGGTGTAAGCAGGACATGGTGTAACTAAAGTATCTACAAACAAGTTGACAAGCATGCTGAAAGCAGTCTAGACCAGATATAAGAAGGTTGTAATTAATTTGCTTGAAGAAGACTGCACTTCTGTGCTTGAATTAGGCCATTTAGGGCCAGCCCTGTCCTTCAGTGCATAGTATCTTCAATGGAAGCTCAGTCTGAGAAGCTCTGACTAGAGAACTTGTTTATCATTTGAACATATACAACCATTTTTTAAATCTTGTTCCTTGATAATTCTCAGCTGCTGAGAACTCTTTATACCAAACCAGAATCCTCAGCCAAGGATTTTCTTCTAGATCAAGGYAGGATAGAATTGTCCATTTCAAAACAAGCTAAAGTTGTTTTGATTTTACTTTACCTCTCTCTGTCTATCAGCCTATCCATAAAATGACRCTTTTGTGCACAGAAGGGATGTTGTGAGACTAAATAGATTACAAAAGTCTGGCATATATTCTCAGATGTATACTCATATTAATATCTGGGAATACCATATAGTATTTACTGTAATCTTCCTTCAGCATTAGTGATACCATCTTGAGCCAGAAAATCTCAAATACTGCCCTTCAGTGAGATTTGGTTTCTGCTTGGAGCCAAAGTAAAGCCCAAGTTGCAACTTTAATACAAACATAGCTTTAATATTTTTTGCAGAGTCTGAGCAGAGAGTAGTGACTGCTTCCAAACTGTTTTTCCGTATTTTTCCAAAGCATGCACAGATAGAAACAGAATAAATTTAAAAATAAAGAAGTAAAAAAGCACTTAAAATACCTTATTCCATTGATTTGCTACAGATAATATCAATACAAAGACAGTTATGTAGAAAATAAAAAAAAAACTGAAAAGCTTGTTGGACACTGATATTTTTAAAAGAGCTAAAGTTTTAGCAGCTTACCGTTTCAGCAAAATACTATGCAGACATCCAGAAGTTGCATGGAAAGTATTATGATCCCCAAAAAACTGGCATTAATTGCTTCCCATGACATAYTTCTCATTAAAGTTGCAGTTTTATAACACTAAATGGGAGTCAGAAAGATACAACCTATCCCATAGTTTCTAAACTGAGTAAAATCAGATTTGTCCTTTAGAAAGAGATAAAAAAAAGCTGCAGTTGAACATCTGTAGAGATGTTCTGTTGAAAGATCATGAAGCAGTACTTTTCTTTCCAGGTGGTTGCATTGCTTTGTGGCAGGAAGGAGCATGCATCTCCTTTCCATGCTTGCAGAATGCAGTATACAAGTACTGTTCAAATTCCAACAATAAGAATCYCCATTCTCTATTAAGTAGCTATTGCAAGCTTTGAATAAAAGTGTTAAAAAGCTCAGCTGAAAGTATTAATTCTGTGGGAAACATGTAAATCTGGATGAAATCTTCCATTCATTTTTAATCTCACTATGGTAAGCCTTGTAATTAAGATGATTAAAGGAGTGAACAAAACCCTGCATTTACATCCTTTGGAATGCCACAATGAGTAACAACAATACTGTTTACAGGAGGGAAAAAAAAAACAGCCCAGACTTTTCTAAATGGATTCATCAAACAGAGCTTATTATTTAAGCAGCTGGTAGTTAATGATCCTCTCGCTTAGCAAGACTGCCTAAGAGTTAACTCTCTAGTAATCACACTGAAAAAAAAAAGCCAATGGCAAACAAACAAACAAACAAACAAACAAACAAACAAACAAACAAAAACATACAAAAAAAAATCAAATGTGTTGTTTATGGGCGACCAAATCATCCACTATGAAAATATTTCACAAGGACTGAAGGACTCACAAAGAAAACAAGAAACAATGGAACAGTTTCTGGAGCAGAAAAAGTTATATAGGACTCCCAAAGAAATGCATGGAAGCATTTTTTGGAATGATGATCCAGGGAAAGCAGAATTTGAGAATCTCCTAGTGCCTGCTTTCTCAAGGAGAAAGTATCTACACAGAATCAACATCGAGGCAATTTTCCTTTGCTATTCAGAAGGGGGAGAGAGTATCTCTCCTGAAAAAAAAAATCCCTTATTTTATTATTCATCTATTTCTCATCAATGTGGCAATAAATTAAGAAACTCACTTATTAAACCCAGGATATAATTCTCTCATCTGAACCGCACTGATGTTCTGAATATATTTCAGGTGCATTTTTTTTTGCTTTTTTGCTCCGTAAAACATGTGGGCAACAATCTAATGAACAGCTACTTGAGTATATATGCCTATATATGCCAAAATTATGTTTGTTCATCTGTATATTTATTGAATTGTCTCTTGGTAATATATCAAAGAATTAATAAACAGAAATCAAGTACATATATGAAACCTGCTTTCCCAAAAGAAAGTGTAGTATTTTTAAGTCATTGCTGCTTTGTAAACAGATTCATTTTTTTTCTGGAAGAATTGTGTTCTGAAAGAATGGGCTTTAAGTATTACTCAATCAAGTATTCAATCAAAAGTATTTACTTTATCTTCCATTTCAAAACATGTTAATAAACCCATGTCTGTTTTAATATTCTTTCACTCAGACATCTTTCTTTTCCAATGACAATGATATTGTCATTTTTTAAAAGGATTCAATCTTCAGGTAAACTTATGAGCAGTTATTAACTTTAGAGATTGAGGAATGGAATTCTATTGAAGGAAGAATTCCTTATGAGGTTGTGGAGAATGATTAGATTTGATATTCTATCATGGATCTCTCTCCTGGGATACTAAATTAAAATTATTTCTAAGGGTGCTGATCAATATAGGTAAATCAATATAGCTGAGTTTGTGCTGTTCATTTACAAAATGACAGACTTTCTCTGTCAGAAGATATCCTCATAACTCATGGTCATGTTAATGTTCGATATTTATGCACTCCACATGAACTTTAAATAATATTCAACAGAAATGAACCTTCTACAGCAGTTTAGTATCTAAAGCTCCTTCTCCCCTATGATTTTAAGGCTCAAAATTAATGTAGACTACTACAGACAAAAATGCTATCTTTGAAAATCAGACTCAGAAACTAAAATGCACTATCCAGAAATAGGATGCTCTCAACTAAAGACTATTTTAGATTTTAGATGTTATTGTGCATAAATCCTTGAAGTTTCATATTCACTGTTTAATTTCAGTATTGAACTCACATCCTTGTTGTCTTTGTCTACCATTCCCCTTAACAGACCAACTGTGGTCTCAGAGCTATCTTTCATTAATGGCCTGTGCCTTATTACCTTAGCTACAGGGAATGATTTATTGTTGAAGCATCATCAGATGTGGAATTTTTTTGTAAGGCCCATGGAAATAGCTCTCTGAACCATTTCCAGCTGAAGGATGAAGGGGAGGCCAAGCTCCCTCCCCAGTCATGAGAATGTGTTAAGCCTAGCCCTGTCATTGCAATTCTCTCAGTGTTGAGTTACTACTACTATTCCCACTGCCGTGCGATACTGGTACAGCTGTTCTGACAAAATTATGCTAAGAGAGACTCTCAGTATTTTGCAGGAGTGATTTTTTCCACCAGCATAGTTACACCAGTGCTACAAACAGTATAAAATAAACCAACTGCAAGCTGTCATTGTAAGCACAGTAGTTTCCACATCAGGGATTTTGCTGGCTCACTGATGAAAATGAAAGGTAATAGTTTTTCACAATCAAAGGCAATGTGTAAGTAATAGTTTTACAGTAAAACATGGCATTAGGTCCTGGCTAAATACAAGTTTAACAGCATAATTTTAGAGAAGACTTATGAAGACTTTGATGATATACTAAGTGCATTTGGCGGAATGACAGCTATTAAAAGGTGAATAACTACAGCAATAATGATGCCTAWCCTTAAACTCTCTGTTTGGAGAAATCATATTCAGGTCAGGTTTTGGAACCATCTCTTAGTTCCTGCCTATATATTTTTTCTCATCAAATTTTGATATTTTATAACCAAGCAATACTATAATCACTCATGTCCATCACATATGAATTGTAGAGTCAAAATCTGAAATAGATTATAAAGGCTATAATAACAAAAGAATGCACTCATGAAAGAGAAAAACAGAGAGGTGGCAGTAAGATAGGAAGTATTAATTATGTTGGTAACAATAATAAAGTAATAATTCCAGAATATATAGGACACGATTTCCTAATATAAACTCAGAGATCTTTTATTTTTCTACAACTCTTCTGCATTGGGACTTTTTTTTCCAGCACTCAAATTTCAAGGAACAAAAAAAATATCCCCTCAATTGAGACCTCATCTTCCCCCGCCAAACTGGCTATACCGCATCTACTAACAAATAAGGTATTTCATCTGTGAAAGTGTCTCCACTATATGTTATGCAAATATAAAGACATATTTACTTTTATGCAAATATAAAACATTTACTTGCAGAAGCTCCAGGAGTGCAAGTTTGAAAACCACCACCGCCAACAGCAACAACAACAAACAAAACACACACAAAAAAAAGCATATTTACATTTTCATTTAAAATTTAATGCAGGGGAATCGTTATACCTCTGAATTCTAGTGATGATGTTGTTGTACTGGAAATTTAGCTATACAGTGATCAGAAGCAGCCAAAATAATGGCTGTAATACTAAAAACAAAAGCCAATTTATATTCTATACCTGTATCYCAACACTGACATTTGGAACAATTGGTGAAGGTTTCTAAACTCTGAAAGAAATCTTTTGTGACCTCAAGGCAGTATATTACACTGGGGACATGGAGACTATTCTTGTTGCATTCAGCTTTAGTAATGGGAATATGGCAATCTTGTAACAGAAATTCTGCTGTTATTCAGTGTTTATAGCATCCGAGCTTTAATTACTCCTTGGTAACTCCAGAAACTGTCAGCAGAGCAGTGTGTATTTCATGTTTAAAGTTCCACATTTGAGTGCATAGGAAAAAATAATGAGCGTGCTGTAAAAGACAGGGGTAGGTCCAGGCTGCAGGCTACTGTACCTGGTGAATGAAGTGGAGGGGAGCACATCAGCACAACTCCCTGACCTTCCCGCACAGAGACAGCACTTCTTGTTCGACCACTAAAGTTCCCCAGATCTGTCAAAAGAGCACAGAGAAAAGCATTTTAGATGCACGCAAAACAAGATTTTATATGTTGTTACCAGCATGACACATATTTTTATTTCTTGTAAAGCTGACAATTCTTTCTTTATACCTTAATCTGTAACAGTAAAGCTTTTAAAAATCTATTTCCATTGCAAAGATTTCCATGTTGCATCAGCACCTTATTATTTTTTTCAATGCACTAATATATAGTGTCAAAGGACACACTTTAGGCTATATACTGTTTACAAGAGACATTTAATAGAGCTTTTATTTCTTTTTGCCAGACTCTGTTTGTTGATTTCTTTCACCAGGAGAAGCCACCCACACCCAGTGAAAAAAATAAATAAAAGTAGAGGTAACACCTGGTCTAATGTGCTGGCTAAAGACTGCTATTAACATGTCATGTGAATAATACAGCACAGAACACATTGCAATGAGTAGAAGGGAACTTCAGCTGCATCAGTTCTAAGATTAAATGTGGTTCATAGCAGCTTTATTTTCCTCAAACACTCTCTTTCCTTCTGATTTCTCCATTGTCCTAAACATAATCCAGGTGTGAATAAATATTTCCTGCCTATAAATTTGCTTCAGCAAGTGAATAAGGCATAATTCACTTTTTGTTGAAAAACTTTTGAGTGAGTCTGCAACTATAAAACTCTGCAACCTATGCTTCTACGAGAAGTTCATGGTGTTAACTTAAAGCCTCTCAAAGATAAGACTGAATCATTGTGTTTATCACAGGGAATACTGGATCTGGGCTCACATTTGAGGTGGAAAACTATGCTCTAGCCTGGGTATCTGCTGTAGAGCAGACACAAGAGCTCAGTGCAGTCACAAGAGCTCAGTGCAGACAACAGACTGAAAATTTCTACCATTTCTCAGTGAAGGCAATGCCACTTGAAGTCTTTGCTCGCTCACAGTTGTTCTGAAGACTAGAACTTTTCTCTCCAGTATGAGCCAAGGGGAAAATTACTGAAAATAAGGATATCCACGGGAGGAGAAATCTTTGAAAATGATACAGAAGCTTAWAAATAACAATAGTAATAATAATAAAAGATTAAGATGAACAGGATGAGCAAGAAATAGCATCTTACATGAACACTCCAAGATCTATAGCTCTACYTGTTCATTTACAAGTACAGACCACAGTGTCAGTATGAAGCCAATAGCACCAAGCAATATGAACTGTGAAACAGAACTATTACTTGCTTAGCTACACTCTTCTGAGAGTTTCTTGTCAGATCCACAGAGCTCAACATCTTGCTTTCTGCTCAATATTACATCAAATTGAAGTTCAGCAATTTTCAGAAGCAATATACGAGCTGATTTTTCATGGATTTCATAATGGAGTTCATAGTACTTATTATATATAAGTAGAGGGAAATTTATGATCTTTCCAATTGATTATTAATTTTTTTATAAGATGTCTTAGGTAGTCTAAAATTTAAATGTTTTTGGATTTGTACTGTCTTTGGCTAAGCTATGCAATTGTTTTTGTTTCAAAGATATATTCAAACAGGGAATACGTAGATGAGATTCAACCAAATTTGACCAAGCAATAGGGCATCATTCCCAAACTATATACAATTTTACTAGGCAATAATTAAAGGAATATTACATAACACCTTAAATTAAGTCCACAGGGAGTTGCAAAACCATCCAGTGAAATTTCATTACAAAAGTGCTACCTACTGAGTGCTACCTAACACGACATTCTGTAGCAAGGTAATTATTATTTTCTTTATTTAGAAAGTACAGGGCTATTATAGCCCTGCATGACCACTTTATTTGGATGAGTTTGCAGTTTGAAATGAAAAGTTTTCAAAGTAATATCTGCATTTCATTAGTGTGAGACTTTGAGTCTGTAACTTATGTTTGTGTCTAGTACTGAAATTTTCTGAATGAATGATGATACACTGACATACAATTTAAACACATCAGAATAGATATTTTCATGAGCATCACTTCCTTCCCTAAAATTAGGAAAATAAAAATTATGTTGCAGTCTTCCTGTTGATTTCAGTATTTTGTCAACATTTATGTGAAAGCTATACTTCAAGTCTTCCATATCCACTACAAAAGGAAAAGAAYGCCCGCCCTGCCTCCCCCAAACTATTTGGTTTAGGGAATCAAAATGCTGAACAAACCAAGTATTATTAATTCAATAGTCTAAACAGCTAGTAGCTAGTAGTGTAGGACTGATTCTCTAAAATCATAGACTAAAGGACAAGAAAGCAATTGTTAATATTCTAAGGAGTCTTTCAAATTTGTTTTCATAGACTCTGAAATTTTTCATAAGCTTGATAATAATATTTAAATTGACACCTTAATTTGGAATGTCAAGCTATTTGAAAAAATACCTGTCATTTTAGAAAATATTTTTTCTTGAAAAACTGTTAATTGAAATACTGTTCCTGGAATGTAGAATCCTGATATCCCATAGGTTTAAATGTGTTTATCCTTGTTGCTAAGTTTTTGTTTCCTGTGATACACATCTTGGAAACATATAAACACAAAAGAGGAGAAATGTGTGACACCTAAAATGTAAATCTGTATGGCAAATTTGAAAGTTTAAATAATAATACAATTTTTATAAAAGCATGTTTCCACACTGCTGTATTTTTCCTCCGACAAAGAAGTTCTATGTTCTCTGTTCTGAATACCACATTGGATTTTTTGTAAGTATATAATGAAAAAAAAAGAAGGATTAACAGGTGTAAAAGCAGGGCTTTAATTGTGAAACAAATAAAAGCAAAGCTTAAATGGAAGAGGACGTGCAGAGTAATGTTTGCAGTTCCTCCTTCTTAAAATAAGTCCAATACAGAAGAAATTAATGAGAGGAATTTTTTTTTTCCTGTGAATCTCTGCAAATCTGTGAATTTGATATCTAGCTATATTTAGGGAAAAGAAAAAGATAGTAAAAAAGTTTTTAAAAATATTGTTTTACATTAAAAAATCTAAAAATAGATAAGAGAATAGAGGGACAGAAATCAGAATTAGATATAGGCTTAAACCAGTCAAACCACTTTAAAAGAGTAAAATAAGGCAGAAAAATGTTTACTAAACCAATTGTGTGAGTTTATACTATTTTATGTGCTAGTTTTTCATATAATTTATAGGGACATTATATGATATAGATTAAAATGTCTTCTTTTGAGCAAAATAAGCAACATAGGCTGACGGTACCTAAAGCTGAGTAAAAAGTAGCCAATATTCTTGCTAATGAGGTAAAAATATCTCTAAACAAAGCAAAATTCTTAGGCCAAGGACAAACATACTCATTTTGTTGTCATTAYAGCATAGAGAGTTCCTTTATATTTGAAAAACATGACTAAGAAATGAATTTTCTTGAAAATACTTGAAAATTCTTAAAATTCTTAATTTTCTTAAAATACTTGAAAATTCAGTTATTTTAGAATGCTTACGTTGTAGCTATTTGTTATGAGAAGGCTTTTGGATGCTTCCTGGATCATCAGTCTGACATGACCTGTAAAAGTTCATATCCTTGCTCAAAGAATTTATTACATAAACACACACAAAAAAAGAAACAGAAATAGGGAATACAAAGAATGAAGCACTATAAGTCTATATGCTACCATGCACATCAACAGATCTAATGAAGCATGTTTCTTAAAAAAAAAAAAAAAAAAAAAAGGAAGTTTTTATGTACAAGAATAGAGTTTACAGATGCTTTAAGAGGGCTCCAGGAAGAGATAAGGTACAGAAGAAATCTTAAAGGTTCTTCTCTGAAATGCAAAAACCTAAAAAAGATACAATTTCCTAAGTGTTAAATAAGTATCTGTCAAAATTTCTGTCAGATACCACAGAGAAGTTTTTTGTTGTTTGTTTGCTTGTTTTGCTTTTTTTCTCAGAAGCAAAGGCATGATTAAATAATCTTTGCATCGATGTGTCATGTTCAAACAAGAAGAAAAGAGTTTTCTTTCTACCATGCCTTCAGCGTGAACTATAAGACATCACACCATTGAAGATTAGTCCTCAGCTATATTTTCACTGGGAAATAAAACAGAATACTTAATTAACTGAACATTTTTTTTAATATCATTAATGACATCCTTTTATGTATGTCATTTTAATATACTATAACAATTCCAAAATATGTTGTGTGCTGCAGTCAGTAGAATCACCTCATTTATTTGTATTTCTCTAGCAAGCTCTCTATGTGTGTCTGCTTTGTTTTATCTTGCTAGCAGAGAACATCTGTGTATCTTTTTACATAGCCCGTCACATGAGTCCCTAAATGGGGTTAATACAAACAACCATCTGCAATTAGCTATAGTAATAATTAATTATTCTGGTGAAGATAAAAATATACAGAATAACTTACTAAAAGAGGTTTGTTGATTATTATGTGCCATGAGTTATAGTACAACTTTTTTTTCTTCTCTGAGTCTATATAAGCCTTCATAAACTAGATCATGAATTAGAGAGTAGCAATTATTATAATTAGAAAATTTGATTTTTTATAAAAAGAAAATGAAATAATAGAATTTGCATGTATTTAGTATTCATGCTTATTAGAAGGAATATTACTTTTTAATAAGGAATTCAGTGCTTGTGATCCTATATAGCATTTATATGAAATGTAAATTGCTGTACGTCTGCAACCATTTTCTTCTGACCAGTTACTCAGTTTTTAGTGAAATCTAACAGTTCATGGAAGAGAATCTTTAGTATATTGGGAAATATTTTTTATTCAATTACACCTAATCTCAATATCATCAATAAATAACATCTATACCTTAAATAAAGCTTAATTCCCCTCAGAGTTTTGAAGAGAAAGGGTGATCTGTAGATACCAAAACATCCATGAACTTCAGTAGGACTTCTGCAACTGAAAATTGTGAAGTACTACCCCAATGAATTAGAAAAGAAAATATTTATTTACAGAAGCAAGGATCAAAATTATCTTGTAAATTCTAGTGTTTCTATATTGTTCAACTGAACTTATTTACGGTCTAATATTTACAATG